TCCAAATATGGGAACAATATGAGACAAAGGTTGCATACCAAATCAGGGGAGATGGATGATCCTCTAACTAGTGGTAGGTCCACAGGCTAGCTCTTTTTTTTTTTTTTTTTTTTTTGCTCCGAATGCCCTCAGGGGTGGTTTGGCTGGCCGGGGTGTTGTGGGGATCGAACTACAGCAACCTGAGGCTGACAGCTTTGTGGAAGCAAGCCCTTAAAGAACTGAGCTATGGCCAGGCCCCCCACAGGCTAGCTCTTGAAGATGTTAGCCATAGGTCTGAGAGGGAGAGAGACTCCTTCACTGACATTTAAACAATAAACAAGGCAAGCCAAAAAAAGTAAACTATGAGAATATAAAGATGAAGAAAATTAAATTTAGCTGAGTATCAGAATACAAGATCAACAGATTTACTGTACATTAATAATGAACCCACTGAAAAAGAAATTAGGAAAACAATCCCATTTACAATGTCAAAAAAAAAAAAAAAAAAAAAGAAAAAAAGAAATACCTAGGAACTAATTAACCAAGGTAATAAAACCTTTTAACAAAACTTTGGCAGTCTGAAGAAGAGACAGAAGACATCAAAGGGCTGGCAAAATAACTCAGCAGCATAAGCACCTGCCTGGCAAGTGCAAGTTCCAGAGTTCATCCCCAGTACTGCCAAAAAAAAAAAAGAAAAGAAAAAAAGAAAAAGAAAGAAAGAAAAAGATACCAGAAAATGGAAAAATAACCCCTATTCCTGACCAGGCAGAAGGAATATTATCAAAATGGTCCTATTACCTACCAAAAAAGACACACAGACTGAATGTAAGCCCGATGAAAATACAAAGACATTTCTCACAGACCTAGAAGAAACAATTATACATGGAACCTGAGGAGACTGACAGCACCCATCCTGAGCAACAGGAACAATGCAGGATACATTAGAATCTCAGATTTGAAGTTATACTATAAAACTACAGTAATAAAAACAGCACATGTAGCAATAACACTGTGGTGACCTGTAATCCCAGCACCAGGGAGGCTGAGGAAGGAGGATCACTGTAAGTTCAAGGCTAGCCTGGGCTACAAAGTCTCAAGAACAATAACAGCAAGGTACTGGCACAAAAAAGATATGTGGATCAACAGAATAAAGAAACACCACCAGGCACATTGTTACTTGATCTCTGACAAGTACAAGTTTCATG